TTATTTTAATTAATTATTTCAATATATTCAAGAATAAATGCTTACTAAAGTATATACGTGTACAGTGCTAATTCTGCTATTTATTGCTAATTTTGCTATTTTCTTCATGTAAGTTTCCCTATTTTTTTGCTAATGTGCTAATTCTAATTCGCATGGATATCCCCTAGGTTCTTCATTCTGTGTGTGGTTGTTGTGTTTCTTTTTTTTCTCGTATGACTGTATTTTCCTTTCGACGCTGTTTTTTTTTTGTTTTGTCGCGCGGCGCAACAATCAAATTAAAAGGATGAAAACGATAGTTTCTTATCGCTCGATTTTCGTAATATCTTTTTCAAATATAGCCTTTTGTGTTTCGGTCGTTTTGTTCGTTCCCTCAACAATTCTTCACTAATTTTCAATTACATGACCGATGACGCTGACGACCACAACGACTGAATCATTTTATGTTTATAATAATTAATATAATTGTAGTTTTATATGGGCTGAGGCAGTGTTTACGATTGTGAATTGATTTAAGAGCAACAGCTGTACAGTCGCTGATGTAAATCGGAGAATACACTCACCTCGGTATCACGAAATTGGAAAACGAACGGGGCAAAACATATAAATGTGTATTGTATGTGGCACTGGGTTCAAGCTGTCTGTAATGGATCATAAACCCACACATTCACATCGACTACCGAAATCGAATCTTAAAACACGAAATCAGAGTTGTTTTCCATATCGCTGTGAATCATCATCTATCGCTTCATGTATAATTTTTGATCAATTGATGGCAATTAATTCAATAAATAAGACATTATATAAACAAAAATTAATGCTAACGATTTCAATGTTTCAATATACATATCTGTCTCGATGTGTGTTTAATTTGTATAATTTTTCATCGGCGAGTGTTTTTTTTTTTTTGCTTGGTTGAGAAAATCAAGCCGGGCCTGATGACAGTAAAAAAAAATCTTTTTTCTTCTTCTGATTCACACCGAAATCGGTGCTTGATCGTTTCGAGTCCTCTCTATAAATTTACGTCAAAGAAAACGGACAAAAAATCCCCAATGTTCCAAAAGTTAAAAATAAATGCGGTGTGCAAAGAGAAAGAGCACACACCAGCGCGTAAAATGAATTAAAAATAGCCATAATTTCGGTGTGTTGTTTGAGGATTAAAACACGTAATAGCCTCATACGCTGCCTTTTACATTGTACGCGCAGCTTGTATGCTGCTATTTCTCTTACTCACAATACTCGGCTTGATCATTTAATATGAATTCGCGAGCGCGATATTTTGTATGCCATAGTCGACGGTACGATTAAAAACGGCGAAGCGCGCAAAAATTAAGAGAGCCAGTTGAGAAATAAAAAAACACCAGAGAAGAGACAAAAAGGAAAGAAAAAACACACGAATACACGGAAAAAGGTTACGTTTCATTATATATATTTTTTTTTTTATTCTTCTTCTGCAGTGTGGCAACTGTGTATTTTTCATGTTTTTTTTCTGCTGCTTTTATTTCGGCTTTCTTTCGTCGTCATTTGCCAACTTTTTTTTTTCTCGTTTAATTCTGTTTCTTTTCGCAGTTGCTTGCTTCATTTATTTTGTAAATCTCATGGTTTTCTTTTACGCAAACTTAAAATTTATATTTATATGCGTGTAGATTTATAATGTCAGAGTTTATGAGAAGCAACTGATTTTCTGGATATATAATATTTTGATTGTTTCTATCCTTCTGCATCTCTTTCTCTCTCTCTCTTCCTCTTTCACACACTGTCTTTCGCTCTCGCTTGGCTTGCTGATTTTGCGCCGACGCTCATTTTCATAATCGGTCGATTTGGTTTCGTTGAGTTGTGGCGATGGTGAAAAGTGAGTAAAGGCGATCGTGTGCACCGATTTGTATTTTCAATTTTTCTTAACTTCGTTTTTCCCACTTTCTCAATACTGACCGAGACTGGTCGAAAGAGAGTCTGATTCTATAAATGAAATCATTGTGTTCGTTGTTGTTGTTGTTTTTTTTATCCGTCTTCTTTTTTTTTCTTTTTCCACTTCCCAATTTCCAAACAAAATATAAATAATGAATGAAAGAAAAATCGAGCGTTGACTGGTGTGGACACGGTTCGCGCACCATATATACATTTTTATATGAAAAAAAAATCAAAAATAAATTGAAATCGTTTGCCATTAATTTTGGCCGTCATACATCTCTATGGTGGCAATGGTGGTTCTGCCGAGATTTCAATTGAGCTTCTGTGCTTTTTTTCCCTCCTTTTCTTTGCTTTTTTCCGTAGAAAATTTGACACATGACCTTCAAATCTGTTTGCGCTTATAAACATTAAGCATTTTCAATGGTTTTTGATGAAAATACACTCTGACAAACAAATTAAAACTTTTAAGAGATCATTTGGGAAATCGGTCGGTGATAAAATGCCAGATGCTACTTTGACGTAGTTTATGTATAGAAGCTAATAGTTTTTTTTTGGTGTTGGTAGATTTCATAGCAAAAACCCATGAATCATTGCTTGGTTTTCATATTACAATCAAAAATTTATTAACGCCATTCACATTGAAGTGAAAGATTGACGCATTTTGTAGAAAGATAGAGATTTGTTGTTATTTTTACAAATGCGTATGAATTCATCAAAAATGAAAACAATTGCGCCAATTTACTGATAAAATGAGTAAAAAAAATAGAATTACGAAAAAAATATGATAACTCATTGCCAAAAATGGAAGCAATGGAATGAATGTAAAATTGTTGTATTATCAACATCTCATGGGTAAATAGAATTGTTCTGAAGAAAATGTTAAAAATGTGAAAAAGTGAATATTACATTAATTTATGTAAAATTTATCACATTTGATTTTAGCTGTATTCAATTGATCGAGCAAATTAACGATATGTCGCTGAGGTAAATTGATACTGTTTTTCTTTCAATTCCTCCTTTGCCATATTGCCGTGTACGAGGTCTGTTATTGAGGTAATATTGAGGTAAGTGAGTGATGAAGTGGAGGCTGTTAAGAAGAATCGATTAATACGGTGCTTGAAAGTAATACGTTTAATTGTTGCGCATTAACATTAGCGTAAATTGATAATCGTGTATTTGCAAGCTGTTGCACTTTGAGGTTTCTTTCTCTTCTTTGAGCGTGTACCGACGAGACCAGGCAGTCAGTCAGCCAGGCACACGTATTACATACTTATGCATATATACGTTTATTTCGTGTGTTGCCACATCGAGCACACGCACAACCACACACACAAAATATATCGCTAAATATATACGTGTCTAAGAGTTGAATGTGACGAGGTGAATACATTGGCTTGGAATATCATTTATGCCATTTATGCGATTGCAATCTTTGTTTTCGGTCTTTGGATGTTTTCTAGTTTTTTTCATTATGTTTGTCGAAGCGAAGGTCTTGCAATAGCGAGGCTATGGCAACAACAACACCATCAACCGCAACCACGACAAATACAAAAAAAAGAAACGAAACAGCCAATTTATTAATTTGTATTTAATTGATGTGTGTACCTGTGTTCACCTAAGCACTGTGTGCTGCGAAAATGACAAAAACAAAGTGCAACACAAAAGAGAAAAGGCAAGAAACGACTATGAAGAAGAAGAAGAAGAACCAGCAAAGAGAATGAAACGAAGAAGAAGCAGAAACAAAAAATAAAGTGCTTCTGCAGTACCCAAGAGCAAGCATTTAAACCGAAACATGTCGGTGAATCGGATGATGTGTTTTGTGATTGCAACTTAAATTGTGTTCACATAAAGAATAGAGCATGGTGACGATGCTATGCTCAATAGAATTCTATAAAATGCATATATACAAAACATCGGTGGGTTCGTTTTTTCTTCTTCATATACGCTGCATAACAACAACACATACACAATTGAACACATATTTTGCGCACGTAAACCAAGGGTGATAGAGCTGAATTGTATCTATCCAGCCAACGTTATTTTGGTTCGATTGCATGCTGATCGAGTTTGTACTGTATTTACTATTTCGAATATGTAGGTATGAGCGTGCCAGCGATTCGTTATATCCATAAGCCTGATGATGAATCGACAACGTTTATATACACACGAGAGAGAAAAAAACCGAGCGCACAGAGAGATATATCAACGCTACACTTGGATATTGTGCCTTTCATGTATATACACGTACTATTTGCATTATATATATTACATGATCTACGCGATGTTGACGAATCAGGGGCACCGTCTGAAAAATACACACTGCGTCCCTTATCGTGAACTCATTGCTTTTGCTGATAATTTTCATTTTCACAGCGATCCGTTTTACTACAATGATAAGCTTTTATCATATTTTAGTCATAACTTCTACAAATGGCCCAAACAATTGCATAAATCTTGAAGTTGTTTGTTAAATCGACAAGAAAAAAGAGAAATTATCGAAGCAACTTCGGGTGATTAGTGTGGTGATGATTCAGACGCGATTAGGCTTTTTTCCAGACGGGCACGAATCTACCTATATATATATTTGGCCGTTGCGTGTGAGCTAGTATGTGTGTGTGTTTGTATGTAAACGTATGTATTTGGGTGATACGTGGAACGCCATCTTATTGAAATATTTCAACTAACACAAATATTCATCTCATTAAATTCCACAGAAAATATTTTCATGTTTCATTTCGAGTCAGAACCGAATGGAAAAAAAGGGGACCGACAAACAGAAACGCGAATCAGAATGCACATAATAAAAGCCAAAGAGAAGCGTAACGAGAAAGGAAAAAACCCAATAAAAACGAGTGTGTCGCGTTTTAACCATGAACCAAAATGAAATAAAAATAAAATAAAAAAAATAAAAAAAAAAAACGAAAAATTGAGAACACAATTTGTATGCGAAGAATTTCCAGAAAATGAGCGAAAAATAAAGTCGGAGAAAAAGTAGAATTTTTTTTTTGTGTATATGTATGAACAAAACGGTCGAAAAATGCATGCAAACAATGAACATGAACATGAATTTGTTATTTTTGATCGTTACTTACCCAGTGTAAATGAATTAAAATGCTCAATCTGGGTCTAAGAATAAATTGCACTTGCAATATTTTTAATTATAAGATTTGTTGTGCAACTTGCAACAGAAGTCAGTCTCTTTTTCGGCTTTTTATTTAAAACAAAAAAATTCAAATCGTCACACAAATTTCGCTTTAAAAAAATATTTAAATCGCTATTTAAAATCTCTTTGATTAGTCACACTTTCATTCACTTTCCAGAGATTCGTAAAAATTCGAGATATTTTCTTTTTTCTATTACAAATAAAAGGTTCGCATTTATGATGTTTGAAAATTAAAATAATATAGATAAAAAGAGACAAAAAAAAATTTCAACCCGAATTATCAACAATCGTCTAGTATTATTTAGGATGTATGTTGCGGCTAGCTGCTGTGCTGCTGAGTACTAAACGAACGACAGAGAAACGAAAACAAACTGCTTCTGTTGCGTACAATCGTAAAACTATTTCATCGAATATGTGTGGAATGCCAAGAATGGCAGATATTGCAATATGTTAACGTGTATTCTGTTGAATACAGTTGTGTTTTCGTTATTTCATTCGTTGTCGTCGTCGTTGTCGGGCCATTCGTTCTCTCGCATTCTCATTCGCTTTCCTATATACTTCTATTTTGGCCAGTTGTTTGCGTGCGTTGTGTACGTATATAACATTGGCATAGGCACACACACCGTACATGCACGATGAATTGAATTATGTGTTCGAAACATATATCTACCTACATACACACAGACACACAAGTCTCAAGCATTTGTCGTGTTCGCGTTTCGGCTCCCTTTTCATCCACGTTCAACGTATTCTCGTTCTGTTCAACATATTCAATTTTAACGATGGAATGGTTGAAATGTAAGGCAAGTGAATGCCTGACTGCGCATACACATACGTTGCGCAGCGGAACGGCTGTTGCTGTACATTTCACATCGAGACACATTCTAGTGGATATGGACGGCAGGCCGCTTGCGAATAAGTCCGCATCAAAATGACTGTAAATAACACAGTTCTATGGACATATGCACAATACGATGGAATTGTGACGTATTAAATCTTTCTCACTCTTCCCTCTGGCAATGTGTATGTGAATCGATGCGTTTTTCCACTCATGTCGCCGCCATCGGCTCCTTTTACACAAATATCAATGAACTATGTGAATAGACAGCGAAAGCATATGTGTTTCACTGTACGTGAGTTAATGCAATGTTGTTATGCTATGAACTCAACCGTTTTCATGCTTGCATTCGACCGATGCCATAACATAGAGCACATCAAACAGCAATTGAATACGCTCGTGTGCTATAAACGATTATAGCAAATGCAATGTACATTTGGTTTTACTTCCGTTACATCTGCAGCACTGACTCAGCAATCACCGTTCGCCCTTCTGAAAAATCAAATCAAAAGGTGCAATCAAAAAGGGTACATATCGCAGGAAAATGAAAACATTTATAGAAAAAAACGATGTCATTTGTTTTGATTGATTTAATTTTATTGAACTGCTCATTCGTCATTATTTCGTTTGTTTGTGTGTGTTTTTTTTTAAATTTTCTTAATTTCTGTTTGATTCTTCTGTTAGCTTGCTTCCATTCAGACAATCTGAAGAAATATTTCTCTATCTTCTCTCTGTGTGTTTGTTTGTTTTTCTCTAGTTAGTCCCTCATATGTACATAGTTTAGGAATAGTTTTTTTTTAATAATTCGACCTTTTTTCCATAGATTTCTTGCAATTTTTTATTTACTCATATTTTCTTGTTAATTAGTGTTAGTTCGTTTTTCATAGTTAATTTTTTTTAAAGCATGAATTCCTTAGCAAAGAAGATAGTGCAATTGGAAGCTGTTGGTTTTTTAAAAGGTGTGTATGCGTTTGTGTCAATTTTGCAGCCAAAATTTCAGTGCGGAAAAACTGTTAGAACATTGGAAGAAGATTAGAATAATAATTTTATTTTGTGTTTGCTAGAAAAAAATGAAACTATGTATGTGTTTTTATGCCTTCAATTGATTTTACTTCAAATATTGACCGTTCTATTGAATTCTTTGAATTTATAAATGTGACGCAATCAGTTCAATTTTTTTCTAATTTGTTTTTAAATTTTAATTCTACTAAATATGTTTTCCTATAACTATGTGTTTTTTCTCATTTTTTTTTGGTAGGTGTGATTATGTCAACTACGAATCTCGATTATTCGTGCCTATTTCTATCAATTCATTACATTTGAATTGAAATGTGTATCATTTTAGATTCTAATTAAATTTTTTTGGTTTGTTTTTCTTTTGATTTTGTACAAGTTTGATAGGTTTCATCATTTGTTACGTACTTGATTTGAAAAATTAAGGTTTTACGGTTTAAAATTTGTTCAAATATTTTGTTGGATTTTGCCTAATAATTTTGTGCAATTTCATTGAAAGAAAATGTTTAACGCTGAAATAAATTTGCGTTTATGCTTAGCTAATTAAAAACAAGTAAAGACGAACAGTTTTTTTTGTTTGTCTGTAAAAAAGTAGACAATACCATAAAGGAAGCTCGAACATGCAAAAAATAAAAATAATTAAGTTTTTCCCTATGCGAGATGTCGTCGTTAAAAATCATGTCAACATTTGCTATATTCCTCTGCACACAAATGACACAATTCGCTGATTTCCATTTTTGTGGCGAATTGTTTTTCAGGATTGTTCAGTGAGTGTGTGTGTGTGTGTTCGAGTTGTGTTGTTGTGTCTTTTTAAATTTAAATATACACACTGTTACATCATGTTCTTAAGTAAAACTTTACATAGAATATACATTACGTCCGTCGCTCGATCCATTTAATTCGATAAATCACAGAAATAAAGTATTCGATAACTAATTTGTTGGTCTGCGCATAACAACAAGACATTCCGAATATACAATTGTGTTTTTTATCCTGTTTTTCTTTTGTTCTTCGGACACTTTTTTTCATATATAATTGTAATTTTTCATATATATTTTTTTGGTATACTTTTCGTTTATTTCAACACATTTTTTTTCTTCTTCGGTAAATGCTGCGGATCACTCGATAGGAAAATCAACGTAATTATCAACATGGGGCGATCGCGCACGGACTTTATATTAGAGAAGTGCTTAAGCAATAAATAATTTTGTTCTTTTTTTTTCAGACCAATCAAATATATTTTGTACTCCATATTGAAATCAATTTGGTGTTATATTAGAAAAAAAAACATATAAAATAGTAACATTTATTCAATAGGTAAAACAAGTAATCATCCTCATCTGTATCAGATAATTCAGTAAACGTTCAAAAAATCTCATGTCAAATAGACTCGATTCGTGTGTGAATTAAAGTTTTCTTTTTTTTTTTTCTTTAATGAAGGCTTCGCAGAAATTTTACGGTGTGCTCGTTTGGAAGAAAGTAAAGTTCTTGACCCAAAACAGTCAATCAGATCAGACTAAAATGACAGAATACCTCATCACAGAGGCTTTATATTAATTTCATAATGTTCATTTTCTTTTCATTTTTGTACGTGGTGTGGAGTGTCAAGAAAAATAGTTCCAATTTTTTGTTTGATCTATTTAAATTCTATTCTTTTCTTCTGCACTTTTCACTATAATTTTTTTTAAGTTTTAACTAAATGCAAGTGGTTTATTACCGATTTTTTTTAAAAACCTTAAATTAAATTCCCAATTCATAAAAGACTTTGGTATGTTGTGGTTGATTTTTGATTTCACTACTAAATTTGACTAGAAATTCAAAGGACTAGAAATAGTTGTTATAATTGTGTATTAGGTGTTATACGTGGTGTACACTAGATCAACATTGCTGACACCGATTGAATGCTCACGAATTTTTAATCTCCGGACCGATATAAATATGAATTTGGAATTGACATATATTTTTTGTTATGAATTAATTTCGAATTCTTTCGATGAATGACAAAAATGGCCATGAACCATTTTGAAATAATTCAATTTTCCACGTAGCAAGAGCTTTTTCCATGAAAAAAATGATTTCTGTTCATAAAACATTCATCAAAGATTTCAAATAATAATTTAATAAAAATACAGAACCGAAAAGTGCCGTTTGGCATAAACTCGGTTTTGTTTCGTGCAATAAAAACTATTGGCCACAGGGCAAGTGGTATAGTGGAATAAACGTATACGAAATATAAAACATAATAAATTACGTCATTTTGTCCAAATTCGCGAATTAGAACATGTCATCATAGTAACGGATACCATAATCCATTCATATTGAGTCACATCCTGTCGATTTCACTGCATATCTAGTCCAATTTCCATCCGGTTGGGTGTTTTAGTTTAAGTTTTGTAGTACGACGTGCGATCATCAAATACTCAGATGGAAAATCCAACATGGTTGTGCAATGAAATGCTAAATTGCACACAGCAATAATATATTCACAAAATGCAAACGCACTGAACGCTAAATCGTGGCAGTAAACTCGATGCTTGAAGAAAAATACGGCCAACCCGACGGTACAAACGATCGATATGTTGAACAGGATCTTTTTGAATTTAATGGATTTCTCCTCATCGATGAGAATCAAATGAGGCAATCGCTGTACGTCGATTTCGTTTTTCAATAATTGACACAATTTTATTACGATCAGCATGTGACACAGCGAGCACACCATGAACACAATGAACACTTGTTCATGCAGGGCTGCAAAAAAAAGAAGAAAAAAATGAGAAAAAGTATAAGAAGAGGAACAAAACACTCAATGCCAAATACAGAATAGTATTATGCAAAGTAAGAAAAATGATATATATTATGATATGCGGGACACACACTTAAAAGAAAAAAAACAGAGCATAGCACTGTTCGAAAATTTATGACCCAATGAAACTTACTGTAATTCTCTCGGTTTGAAATGTACGTGACACCGCACAGTGAAGTGATTTCAACGATGTGCAACCAAAACGCAAGTTTCATATAAAGTGTACCTTTGCTGTGGACTATTGGATTCTTGACATGGCACAACATATGTTCATAATAGCTTTTGTAACAAATTGCAATTATAAATCGCGGCCCTACATGCAACGCAATGCTTATTCGCCAAAAATAGATATTTGGACTGATGCCCGTTATGGCGCTTATCGATGGTATAAAATTGAAAACCTGTAGTTGTAGCGGACACCGATGGTGATGTAATTAGAGAAAGAGAGAAAAACACGAAACCAAAAAAGAAGAAGAAACCAATCAAATCCACATTAGTTTGGAGGTGAAAAAAAAGAACGGGGTTAAATCAAACTGGCAAATAAATACCCATATGAAAATACAAAATCGAAGCGATAAACTCACCCGGCAATGTGTTTCATGTACATCATCAAATTGGAAGACAACGGCACTCACGAAGCAAATAAATAGCGTTACCATTGGCAGTGCGGCTGTTACCATGCATATTTCGCGAAATCCCAGCATAAAATGCACGGTAATCTGAAACATAGATGAAGAGCAACATTCAATTTATTAAGTCATTATATATTTAAAGTGAGCTTTTTCTTTTGTTCGAATAATTGCCCTTGTGCCTTCGTGCATCTGCTTTTCAATACCCCTTTGAATGTAAAATTTCGTGCATTTTGATATCTTTGAAATGTGATTTAAATTTCATGAACAAATTTTTTTCATCGATTTTCTCTCTTTCTCTCTCTCACTCGGCCTGAAGTCTCTATCTGTATCGGTCGTTTGTAAACGGTTTTCCACTTGAACTTTACGCAAATGAAAAACCGAGAAAAATGCGCAAAACACTGACACCGTTTAGAATCGATATTCGATTAAAACGTGCTTGAACATGGAAACATTTATATTGAAGGATACATTGAGACGTATTAAATGCACCAATGAAGGCGATTCCTATATTTACGCGCCGAACAAAATTGTATGTTTTATAAGTAAACGACAATAAGGAGAGACGCGTGCTAGCTAATTGAATTGATTACGTGCGCCAGTGCAATGTTAATTTCATTTATTTATAATAAAAATTTATTAGGTTAAAAATAGGAATTAAACGAAACAAAAAAAATGATATGTAAGAGAGAGAATATGATTCGCGTAAATTGTAATTTATCGGAACGCATGTATATGCTACACCAGCAATAATAGCCAATACAAATAGCCTATCGTGTTCACTCATTTTCTCTGCTCTGTCTATTTAACGCAAACACACACACACACACACACACTCGCTTACTCAATCACACATTTGGTGTCGGTCCCTTTCATAACTCGCCAAACGGAAAATATCAAATGGTATATTACATTTATTCAATGGCTCAGCTTTTTAATTAGATTGCGTGCGGTTTTGGCTTTTTTAGTTACCTTTTCTGTGATTTCCTTGCTATTAGGCGATTCATCTTTTTGATTGGCAGGAATTTCATCGGGCTCATTTTTATCGATAGTCATCACACTGGGGCAAAATCAACGGGGCTATATTTATATGTATATAGATATATATAAAAATATATCAATGAAATAAAAGAGCAAAATCACAACACACTATATATTATGTGGTGTAGAATTGGTCGTTTCAATATTGACTCTCAACACTCAGCACTAAAACTAAATCGATACTGTTCAAATGAACGAGCTCATATAAATGATATGTTGAAGACTTTTAAAGTTTAAGACAATATTAATGGCCCTATGAAATGTTTATGTTACCAATACTACTTGCATTATATAATAAGGGGACAAAAAAAAAAAAACAACAATTATTTCGAAAAGAGAAAAAAAGCAATCAAGTTGTAACTTTTATCTGAATTAAATATCATATCGTGTGATTTTCAAAGATGTCATTTCAATGTGTTTCGATTTCATAGACAGAAATACAACGGTTCAAACCACATCATGCATTTTTTATGCGCTAACAGAAGGTTACACAAAATGCAATTTGGAATTTTTTTTCACTTGGAACTCTTTTTTTAGATTATCTCTTTTCTCTCTCTCCCTCTCCCTCTGTCTCTCGATTTCTATCCTTGTACACGTACACTTGAATACACCAAACAAAACATAATTTTGATCTTACGACATGCATGATAACTTTTTTTTCTCTTTTTCTTTCAACAATTTTCATTTTGGATACTGTATAATTTATTTATGAAAAATCCTTACTTTGATGAAACAAAACTGGCGATGTGTGTATGCTGCCTATTACGTGGTACTTTGCAAATTTATTGCAAATGTGAAAGAAAAATCACTTCTTTTTTATTTGATTCCCTTGAAAATTGTAGTCTAATGAAAGTGTGCCAAATTTGTGAAAACTATACGCACCGTCGTCCTACGACGGAAAAAATCTCAGGTTCTCTTGCGTCAAATATTCAACGATTTCGTTGTGTATACATGCAATAACACCAATTGATTTTCAGCACCCGAAACGTGGTGTGTCTGAATTGTTTTGGGAATTCGTTTCACTGGTTTAACACTTTTAATATGCTTCGTAATTTCACACATTCGACCGTTCCTTGTTTTTTTCTCGTCTCTCGTTCATCAATGTTGAATGGGGCAAATCATAGTTACAACTGTACGCGAATTGGCGCTAATCCATATGAGTCCGTGTGAAATCGACATATAACAGTACAATGTTTAAGGTATTTCTTTTATTTTATTGCTGCTGCTGCTGCTCTTTCCATTTACCGCAACTATTTAGTGACTTTTCGCGCACAGCAATGCATTTTTACTCGTTTCGAATAAAAAAAAAGAAATTTTCGTTATGTGGTACGCAAGCGCTCTATCTCTCGCTCCATAGAATGAGAGCGAACAATGTATCCGCACATATGACGGTGAGCAATGAAACGGATTTTCATTTTCATATTTGACATTTCACCACTGGTTCATAGTATCTCCAATACACTCAAACCGTTCGTGACACTATGACAGATGTCAAACGAAATTCACTCAATTCTCTCTCGCTCTCTCTTCACTTCATATTTCATTCACACAAAAAAAAAATCTCTCATCTGACATTACGACGATAAACATAACCTTAGATTCTGTGAACTGAAAAAGGGAAGTTTAATTAGCAAGCATTTGTTTAAAGTTTGAAATTGTCTTTTCTCCAAAATGTTGTCAATTTTTCGTGGTATTGCCTCGAGAATTGCACCAAGTGCATCAATTTTAAGCAATTCACAATTTCATACGAGCGCAATTTTGAACGCTGAACCGAGAAAATTTCTTATGTACAATGACAAGGTGTTTGAACCACAAACAGAAGATGAAGTACCAAGAAAAGCGGTAAGCAAATGCATTATTTTTGAGACGAAACAATTTTCTTATTTTTCTATTTTGTTTTCAGTTTGTTTGCCATTCAAAATACAACATCAAATATAGTCCGGAAAAAATGTGGTACATTGCGTGTATGATTCGTGGTATGTCAATTGATGAGGCCATCCGTCAATTACGATTTGTTGCAAAGAGAGGAGCCGTTTCAATATTGGACACATTGTTGGAAGCTCAAGAGTTGGCTATTAAAGAACATAACGTTGAATTTAAAAGCAATTTATGGGTTGGTGAGTACAGATACAAGACACAATTTCTCTTCGATTACTTTCACAAAAACCTTTCAAAACTATTCTAACTATTGTATTATTTCAGCCGAATCGTTTACGGGAAAAGGATATGTGATCAAAGGTATACGTCACATTTTTTTTTTCTCTTCTACAGTGATCTCAAGTGATCCAAATGTCTAATTAAGGCAATATTGCGCTTAAACTATATACTTTCTTTTATAATTTCATTTTCTATTCTGCTTCATTATTGATTAATTTCCATTCTTTTCTTCTGAACATCCCTAGGTATACGTCGTCATGCTAGAATGAGAGTGGGTCGCGTTGAATATAAATACTGTCACTACTTTGTTCGCTTGGAAGAGGGCAAACCACCAAAAGACTACTATGGAAATAAAGTCACGCCTGAACAACAACTCGACAAATGGATGGATGAAAAACGAAAGAGAAAAATCTATAATTCTTTGTAAATTTTCATTGTATTGCGTTATTTACATGCATTAGAAATAAAAGAGTCGACATTTTGAATTATAAGTTCGGTTTTTATTCTTTCAATAAATAGTTTCCCTTCATATACATCTCATAACTGCTTTGTCTTATACGTCTGTGTGACGTAAGAAAATTTTCATTAAAATTCATTCAGTTGCAGTTCAACATTTGACAACGCCTTCAATAAGTTTGACGGTAGTTAGTTTTGAAGTCTCCAAATCGTCTTCTCGATCGCTAGTATCGCTATCTTCGTCTTCAATCTCACCATGTTCAATATGAATATTCTTTCCTTGGCCGGCAATGATAGCTCGTTCAAATGCTGGCGGCAAAATAAATTTGAAGAATTTCGATGCGGTCGATATTTTTTGTGTTCCTTTATCCTTTCTTTCGGCTTTCTTCTGCACCTTTTTTGGTTTCTTATTCACAACTTCTCCCAAATGCATCGCTTTAATATGAAGATTTAGCTTTTGTTTTGTACTTAATTCCAGTGTACAGCCATCGTATGTGCATGGAAATGTTCGATTTTCATGTTTCGACTTGTAATGTGCTAGCATATTTTGATTCTGTAGAAAAACCTTCGAACATCCCTCGTACGGGCATTCGTAAACAATTCGATCGTCAAGATTTGCATGCGTTTTCCGATGAATTTTGAGCAACCGCCTCGAATGGAATTCACGATTACAAATCGAACATTTCAGGTCACTATTTATGTGTTCTTTGTTTTTATGTGCCAAAAGGAGTGACCATTTATCGAATGTAGCACCACAGTCTGGACATTGGCGTGTACGATGCGAATTTTCGTGCCTTTTTAATCGGCTCATCAAATGAAATCCTTTTCCACACTTATCACAGGTATATCGGTAGTTACCAGTGTGCACAAACATGTGCTGTTTCAATTGAGTTTTTCGGCGAAATTTTTCACCACAAATATCACACTCAAATGCACGGAATATCTCCGAATGGATTTGATGACAATGTGCCTTCATACTGTTTACCGAATGAAAGAATTTACCACACGATTCATGTGGACAGTACACATTCTGAGCTAATTTGAAATGTACAGTTTTTGTGTGGCGTTGCAAATGTGAATTGGTGATATATGCTTTGTCACAACCGTCTATGTTGCATTGGAATTTTTTCATTTTACTGTGGGTGAATTCATGGGCGTCCAATCGATCCTTACGCCTGAATTGCAGATCACAATTGGGAAATTTACAGGTATATTTAATTGTCGATAGAAATGACCAACCATCCGAATTATTTGACGACATTTTGTTCGGTTTTCATTCACCCACTGAAATTGGAGAGAAAATTACAATATTGTTTAAACGTAAAAGAATTTTCGATAAAATTTGACAAGAAAAATGTACAGTTGTCTTTAGAAATTCCATGCTCTTACCCTATTTTCACTCAAATAAATACGGAAAATACACGTAATTTGGTTTTTGTTATTTAAAACTGCTAATTTGTCGCGTACATGTGCTGCGTTTGACAGTTCTCAGTTGTGCACAATATGTGTTGTATACTAGTTACAATGCCGACCAATAGATGTCATTGAAATCCCTTTGTTTGGAACATACAAATTGATTTTATATCGAAATCATTTTTTCCCTCCCAAAAAATAATAAAAAATATATCATCATTGTTAATACCACAAATTCGATTTCCATTCATCGTTTCCAGTAAATCCGAGTATTAATGAACCAAACGTCGAGTTTTCAACGATCTCTCGCTCTTTGCACTGAAATGGTTTCTTTACGATGCAATGTACGTATGTGGACGTGAAGAATTCTTTTGTCGATGGCGAGCACATATTATTCGATATTGAAATGCCTGTTGGAAAGCAAAATACATGCACATGGTAAAAACTATAGAATTACACATGTATTTAAAATGTAAATATTTTTGAAGTGTTCGATTTTTGCTGCGGAGTCTTGCTTTAGACCCTACTTTTGTGAAGTTATTCGATTTTTTTTCTCCAGTGATCATATTACATTGATTACCAGGTTACCTCAGTGAAAAAACACACGATACATATTTAAATTCATTTCGGCTTATATGCAATTTGATTTTCATTTGGGTCGTTGCGACCAACACAAGTCTAGATAAAATGCGAACACATTTTTATCGTGCCTAGCATCACACAGCTCAAGTATGAATTTTATCATTCTTTAAGTGTAAATAGTCTTGAAATTCACCGAATTTTCGTTGATTACTTTTTGATAAGATATAGTAGTGATGAAAAACAATACAAAAATATCAGTCATTTAATTCACAGCGTGAGTGAGAGCAACATCGAGTCTAAAGGGGACAAAAGTTACACTTTTTCCGATTATAGTAAATATTATCGAGTTTACACCATTTTTTGAATTGGTTAAACTTAAAAAAAATGAACGAATGTAGTGAAATGACCGAGATGAATGAATTACAAAATTATAGCTCGTGCCGTGGTTCCACGTTAATTTGGCAAAATGTTAATGTTTACACTAAAGATAAGAAAAATGGGAATAGTACAAACAATCTAAAACGTATCATAAACAATTCAACGGGTTTTATACAACCGGGCACTTTGATGGCTGTAATGGGATCAAGGTATGACGAACTTCGAATAATTTACATAAAAAATCAATTTATTTTTTCTTTTAATTATTCTTATGTAGTGGCGCCGGAAAAAGTACTCTTATGTCAGCATTAGCCTTTCGAAATATGCGTAAGTGATGTGAATACATTTGATCAACGTTCAAAATTTAATTTTTTTTGTGCTTTATTTGAAGCTGGCACTATTGTGGAGGGTAATATATTAGTCAACAATCGGCCAGTTGGACCTTTCATGCACCGTTCAAGTGGGTTTGTGCATCAAGATGATTTATTCGATGGTACCTTAACTGTATTAGAGCATATGACCTTCATTGTAAGCATTTTGAGACGAAATAATAACTCTCACAGTGCGGAAATAAGAACAATTGTTTTCGATTGCGGAATTTTTAGGCAAATCTAAAATTAGACAAGCGAATTAGTCGTAAGGAGAAGAGCAACTTAGTAAACTCAACGCTGGCCAAGGTCGGTTTATTACAGTGTATAAATACGCGAATTGGTGACACAGATAAAGGCAAAGCATTGTCCGGTGGTGAGAAAAAGAGACTATCTTTCGCTTCTGAACTGCTAACAAACCCAACACTCTTATTTTGCGATGAACCTACTACTGGTTTGGGTGAGCTTCTACAAGACATTCGACAATTTTTTTATTTTAAATCAAATGTTTTAAAATACAGATGCATATAGTGCACAACAGGTGACGAGTATTTTGCTTCGTTTGGCCAAACAAGGAACGACAATAATGTGTACAATTCATCAGCCATCCAGTCAAATATTTGCCATGTTTCACAAAGGTACACGTTTTATATTTGACCTGTGATTAATTATTCAATTCATCTGCATTTCCTTTGTTAAGTGTTACTCTTGGCCGATGGTCGTATCAGTTACATTGGCACACCGGATGAAGCTGTTTCGTTTTTCTCACTGTAAGCATGAGATAGTGTGAATTTCCAAATGATGTCAAAACAAATTTTCCGTTGTTTTTAGAAATGGTTATCAGTGTCCATCAACGTATAATCCGGCCGATTTTATGATCAGCATTCTATCGAAGACTGAACCGGGCAAGGAATTGAATAACGTTGCCCATCAGCTTTGTGATGCATTTGAAGCAACACGTCAAGATCACACCTGTGAAATATCAAATGACTTTGCAATCGAAGAGGAGCGAAAGTATGACGTTCAAAAACCGCTTTGGATAATTACCGTCTATTGGCTGATCTATCGGAATTTACTAATTGTGGCAAGAGATCCGCATATTCAAAAGATTCGCATTGTAAAGGCAATCGCTATCGCGACTTTGGCTGGACTTTGTTTTTTTGGATCGGTTACTTTAGATCAATATGGAATTCAATCCGTTCAAGGAGCATTGTTTATACTTATATCGGAAAATACATTTTCACCCATGTACTCGGCTCTCACATTATTCCCAAATCGAGATCCACTGTTTATACGCGAACGACAAGCTGGCCTCTATAACACACTACAATATTATATAACAAGCACTGTGGCACTGGTAAGCTTTTGATCGGTTCTACTTGAATTCATTTCTCAAAACCTATTTATTTATCACAGATTCCGGGTTTAATCATCGAACCGCTCATTTTTACCGTAATTGTGTACATCTTTGCTCAACTTCGACCGACTGCTTATGCATTCCTGATGACAACGATAATTATCATTTTTGTGATGAACATAGCAACGGCTTGCGGTAAAAATTTCGTATTTTATTTCCATCGATTGTAGGTTGAATATAAAATCTTTCTGTTTAGGATGTTTCTTTTCCATTGCATTCAGATCGGTCGATATGGCGATTGCATTTTTGGTACCATTTGATGTGTCTCTTATGATCACGTCGGGTGTCTTTATCAAGCTCAAGTAAATTTAAAGTCCTTTTCATTGAAGTGTGGTTAGTAAATGATTTTTGCGATTTTAGTTCTGTGCCGTTTGCTCTATCCTGGTTAAAATACATTTCTTGGCTGAAGTATGCAAACGAAGCAATGACGATTGTACAATGGGAAGGAGTCACCAACATAAGTAATATCAGTAATTATTTAATGATTGAAAGTCATTCTTCATACATTTTTTTTAAATTCGTTCTAGCATGTAATTTTGCCGCTCAATTACCATGCTTCGAATCGGCTGAGGAGATCTATGATTTATATAATTTTACTGAAGATGATTTTAACACTGATTTATACGCATTGACTGCGTTATATATCACATTCCATGTATTTGGTTTTCTTTTTTTGTGGCTACGAGTTAGAAAGTATTAATTTTTTTTTCTCTAAAATTTGCAAACATGTGCTGAACATTAGATAACATTTTGTGTAATTTTGTAAGATTTGAAAACAAATAAATGTGCTCACGAAAGTAATAAAACTTGATTCATGTTACATCATATGTTTCTTTATTTATATTCTCAATATTATCTATCAACATAGAACCATTGCGTTATGTTATTATGTGTCCAATTCTACTTCAACGGGTCCGTGGCGCAACGGATAACGCGCTTGACTACGGATCAAGAGATTGCAGGTTCGAATCCTGCCGGACTCGATTCTTTTTTTTTTCATTTTTTGGATTATACTTTTTCAGTTTATTTCTAGACGATTCTATCGAAACATGTGCCAACAAAAGCAAAAATACATTTTGAAGCATTCTATTTATTATTTGAATATATTTGATTTTATCAATCCGAATTTTAAAGCGAAGCAACAACAATTTTACTTGTGATTTTCTTCAGCTTCAAAAAGGTATAATCCAGAAATTAAAAAAAAGAATCGAGTCCGGCAGGATTCGAACCTGCAATCTCTTGATCCGTAGTCAAGCGCGTTATCCGTTGCGCCACGGACCCCGTGTACAAGGAATGAATCAGAATCAAAGGTAAGTTGCCGTCGCATAAGACACTGGAATATAGACGGATGCTCACGTTAAAAATAAATACGCGACATTAAATTAGATACAATGTACCGCATGGTATGCTATTTTCTAGGCTATTTTTCTTGTTTTGCATAAGACCACGAATGATAAACACTCATTTCTTGGCATATCATTCACCTATTGCTTTTTTTATATTTTATACATCCGCTATATTTATATTTTTGCATATTAAATATTCGAATGTTCAATGCCTTTAGAAACAGCTGCTTTTTTGTTTATTAAGAACAATAAACTTTGTTCTTTTGTCGTCTTCCATCTATTTCTTTATTCTACGCCTACAGAAAAATGTCATTTCCAAAAGTCATACAAATATATACATGTAAAATACAATGAATGTGTGCAAAAAGAGACATGTATTTTAATCAATTTTTATTCCTTCGAATGATCTTGATCAACATAAAATGCATTGAATTTCCATTGGTGTTTGTACAAAAATAAAACATCTGCCGCTAAATGAAAATATACTTTCGCGCTTTTTTTCCAAATCAAATTGAGTTCGATGTACGAGACTGCAAAGAAAATGTCAAAGTGTTTGAACCACAAAAACCTGTCAATAATTCCACAATTCAATTTAAGAAGATGCTAAAATGTGTGCCTAATTTCCATAAAAACAAATCAAATTTACATTAAAATTCATTGAATTTTAAATAGGCATTCATATGTTCTACAGCGCAATTTTCCATATTAGTCAGTCATTAAGGTTGGTGGCCCTGTACATACGGAGAGAAAGAGAGAGTTTTGACACTTCAAACAATTCCAATTGACAGTTCAAGTTGTCAAGCGAAATACATGGCATTAGTTTTTATCAAAACAAAGAATTTCGATTTTCATTTGGAAAAAAGTTGCGAATATTCTCGAATTTAATGCGGAAAACTGATGTGAACTGTTGTCGAATGCAGAAATAGCCATCGAATTGTGTACGCACCAATTTGATTCCAAGTGAAAGAAGCTCAGTGTTTTGTGCAATCACTTTTCATACGAAATTTTTTGTTGAGATTACGATGAGGTATGTGTATGTAGATAGTACTTACAATTTTTCTTTGTCAAACATAATTGCATTATGTTTCGATGATGATGGCGACAATGTTCTGTGAATGTGTCTTTATTTATCGCAGTGTGTAATACATATATGTTTTATATTTACAGAACATGATTAATCGACCACGATGTCGGGATTGGAGTCCATTGGCCACACAACAGCTGCGTTTGCGGAATCTAATTCAAATCACAGGACATAATATCGATGCAGATCCGAATACATCGATTTATTTTACATTGCATTTGACATTGATGTCTGCCCCATTTTTCACGAGTGAACCATTGCAAACATTTCGAAATGTGATTTGGTCGGAAATCAATTGTCAAAACATTCAAAAATCAACGTCACAATTTGTTGTTGTTCGAGTATGGCAAACAAAACGCGTCCAAACCACGGAAGATGTAAGACATCCACGGCGATCGTCATTGAGCAATACAATCTCCATACACCGAGACTTGCGTCAAAGTAGCGTTGAGCCAAATGTTGACCGTGATTCAAGCGATGGCACCAACAATAAGGACAAAGTGTTGTTTGTGTGGGGCGTATACTTTTCCGGTTTGGTGCCGATAACAAAGCGTTCAGAGGTTAAATTAATGAATAATGCGCTAGTTTTTTATATTCACGGTGGTTTTTTTACATCGGTCGATTATTTATTGTCTGAAAGTGTTCCCATGCAATACAAACACTTCTTCGAAACTGCATCGCAAAAAGAATTTAAAAAAGGCTTATTATCATCGAAAAATTCTACTAACAATTTAATTGCTACCAAAGGTACGACTATTAACACCACAAAAAACTGTGATAGCCTGCATTCAAGTCGAAATTATCTAAATGAATTGGATGTTGGCGAGCGTAAACCAATTTCAATGGCAAATTCGCCAAAACGAATATCGGAGCCGATTTATGCCAGCGGACGATTATCTCCATCATGTGATGCTATCACAAATTTACCACACAAACCAGAAAATTCGAATGATGCGCACGATCAAAATGCCGACGAAGAATACACAATAACCGATCCGAATGTATTGAAAGTTCGATTTTTGGATAAGGAATTTTTCAAATGGGAAATTCGTCGTAGTTATAATGTGCAAAAGCTACTTTTGCTACAGGAAAAACAACGCGTATTCCGAAAGAAAACCCAGAGTGCCAATGAGGTGATGGAAAAAATATGCATGAAAAGTGCATCATGTTTGAATTTGGAATTAATTGCAAACAAAGCGATGTTCTATCGTCCAAAATTAGTGAATCCATCCTATGGCCGAACATTAAGTCGACTGTTGACAACGCAACCAGAACAACCAAAACCCGAAGATTTGCTGCGAGCACAAGAACTGCGACGCAAAATCGAAACGGCCAAATTTCGATGCCGATTTTTGACCATGGAACGCGATCGATACAAGGTTACGTTGCGAAAATTGCATGACAAATGCGCCCAATTAAATGACGAAAATATCGATAAAGAATCTTGGCTCATGGATGACTATCGTGAATTGAGCCGCGACCGAGATATGGCCATTGAAAAGCGTGCGCTTCATTCAAGCCGACAGAAATCGTATGAAAAAACTAAAGAGTCGCTCATACAGCGACAACATCAACTGCTTGGCCAATTGCGAGACATTTATGTGATTAAAGAACGCGATCGAAGCGGAATCTATGAGATTAACGGCATTTGCCTACCAAATACGGACATTTTACGCAAATATTATAGCTCACATCCATCCGGTACGAATAATCCGGCACTTAGTCTTTCCGTTGCTATGTGCTACGTTGCCCATGTCGTTCTACTATGCTCTTCAATTCTTAATGTGACATTAAGGTGAGTGCGTAAAATCAACCATATCATCGAACATTTCTAATCATTTTTGTTCTCTTTTCAATAGAAATAAAATCATTTATCAAGGATCAGCATCGAAAATTCGCGATGACATCAAAATGCTTTCCGAACATGATCGAGAGTGAGTTTTATTTCCACAAATTTTGTCATTTTTAAAAATCTATCATTTCTCTACTAATAATTCCAGATTTCCCTTGTATTGCCGTAACATTCCTCCCAGTGATTCATTGCTGTATGCAGCATTTTTACTTAATCAAAATATATCACAAATGAAATTCATTTTAAATCTACACTCGTCGCGTGAGGATTTGCGTGCAACACTTCCAAATCTACTGGCAATACTAACGGTTGGCGAAGAAATCACCGAAAAATATTTTGCGATTCAGGAGTCGGCCAGTGTATCTTTTTTAGCGGCCGATGCAGATGTACCGATGTCATCCATTTCGGAAACGTCCATTGATATGATGCTACCAGTGCCAGCCAACAAAGCATTTTCGATCAGCGAAGAGAATATCAATTTGGCCGACCAATCCAGGTAGCTGAGACAAAAAATCAATTGCACTCGTTTTCAACACAATTAACCATCTTTTTTATTTTGTAGACAAAGCATTGGTTCCTGTCGTACACGCGGAAGTTTTTCGGATGATCAATTAGCAAAATGTCGTGATGACAATTCAGATCGAAAATCGAATGTCAGTGCAAGCAGCCCGCATAAGACTTTTAGCTCGGAACCAATTTTACCAACTGGACACATTTCGTAAACACACCAATCACCAACACCAAATGATACGCGATTCTTTAGTTAAATGTCTCTCTTCAAAATGTTCTAAATGTTCTCCTCCATTTGGTATTATTCTTATTTCGTTGACTTTGACTTGTATTGAGTTGATTGTTAATTGTGTATTTAAATAAATTTAAAATGTATATGCGTTTCAATTAATATGATAAAGAAAAACTATATCGCTACTACTGGTACAAACAACCAAATTAATAACTTTAATGACAAAATATACAAAGCAATTCAAAATAAAAACCATGTTTTTAAAATGAATGTTCGCACTACCAACAGTTTTCTTGTCAGTATTCAGACGGATTTTTCTGTATGTAAAAAGGTATGTGATTTGTTCTTCTTCAAAAAATATTACATTTTTATTTGCAAAACATTATTTTATTTATAAAAAATCACAAAATTGCCTATAAAAACATAGGTAATTTCGAAAATGGCGCCATCGAGGTGCGAGCATGTATGTGTGTATGTATGTAAACGGTGTGTAAGGTAACGCCATTTTTGAAAACGACTTTGACGTTTCTTTCAAGAGATATGGAGCTCTCTTTCACTCTCGCGCGCTTACACTTGGATTTTATCGATATTTTGGGAATAGATATGTGTGAACACAAAACGCACACTGCTTATCCATAGGCCAGCAAGAGAGTTGCGATGTGCTCTGCTCTGTGTAAATAAGATTTGATTTGAATTCAAACAGTATACCACAAACAAGGAATGATTGTACGTAATATCTATACTAAATAGGATAATAGTCATCGTCGTTTTCATCGCAATGCATACACATAAAATAAAAATTGAATCAGTGCCATAATTTTTGTTCACGTTGTCAGTAAAGTAAATCGGTTCGTTTGTCTTGACGTACTGCGTACAGAAGCAGTCGAGATACGGTTATCGTTTATTGAATATTGAATTGTCAATTGACTTTATTGTGATTGTATTATACTACATTGGAATTAATTACATACGCTACTTCTTTTCGCCGTTTTGCTTTTGTACGTATTTCGGCTACGAGTTTATTTGATTGTCTAAAGTGTATCAGTTCCGTTCATCACAAGATGAGGTGTGAGTGACGAATAAAGAAACTATTACGTCGAATTATATGTGCAAATCACATGCGAACGTAGAAAACCAGTGGAAAACAGTTTACAAATAAGAAAAGAAAGAAAGAAATATATAAAAGTAAACAAGTGTATATCGAATTGGTTGTGGGTGATTTTGGGCGTACATTTGCAGCGCATCTCAATGTTCGATTGGTAAGTCAACATTTTGCTCTTGATTTCGCGCATTTTAGAAAAAAAGAACTCTTTATCAGTATTTGAGCCATTCACTGGCATATTTTTTTTAATTAAAAATTAATGGGTTAAAAGAGAATTTACTTTCACAATTCGTTGAATTGCACTAATCGATTTTTATCACTGCGATGCATATTGGCATTAGCTCGTTATGTTGTCAAGTACAGTATCGATATAAAAGAATATAGTAAAAAAAGGTAGCAGTGATGATGATAATGGAAAATCATATGTTGAGAAGTGTTCGGTGTGTACGTGCGTGTGACACATAAATCTATTTTGCGAAGCGCTTCATCCATGGAGAACCTTATTGTTGGGTTGAAAAAAAAACAATAAATTTCCTCGTTGATGCGCATTGCGCAAGTTAGCGTTTGCGGGTATGTCGGCAAATAAACACGATAAAAATATATTCGCGTAATATTCATTACTGCAACTGAAATTCTCATCTGTAGATAATACGAACGGATTTTTATTTATTCTTTTTCTCTATCTTGCCTGCGCTTTCTCTCTGTGTGTCGCTGCTGCTTCAAATGTTATAAATATTAATAAATTCGCTGATGTTGATATGTATATTATCACGGCACAAATGGCCTTGAACTGCTTTGTTACATTTTTTTTCTGCTTCCTCTAGATTTTTCTTTGTTTGTTTTCTATAGGTGTCAAATCAATGCACACTTAAAAAAATAAACAGGAAAATTATGATGATATATTTTTTACTAAGGTTAGCACACGTTAGGTTCAAATCGATTGAACAACACCGATATGTTGTAAGCGCGCAAAATATCGAGTGTTAGCTGCTACTGGTATATCATTCAACACAAACACTTCCGAATAGAGATTTTCACATTGATATGAACGTATATGCATTACTTACTCTCGCTTTTAAGTTGAATTGGCTCGAGCCTTTAAATAAACTCGGATAAAAGCGACGTTTTCATCCTATTGTAACCGGAAAGATGAATTGGGTGTCTTTTTTTACTGAATACTTTGGTTGAATGATATTTTGAAATTGATTACGTCAATTTTGATGTAAATTAGTGGTTTCTTATTAACTTCACTGCTCACTGCTTGTATTCACCGCGTAATAACATGTTATACAAAACTTTGACCTAGACAATATTCAATGGTAACAGCTTTAGTTTTGCGGTCATTTGTTGTGTGTTGTTTTCTAAATTCATTATTTGATGCAATGAATTTTAATGCGATTTTTAAAGAAAAACGATTTATAGACACTTCGGTACATGTTGCGTACTTGATCCCATTGCACAAACTGAATATGAATAAGAAAATTTGGTTTGTTCCGAATTATCGGCCGAGCACACTTGTGGACTCGAAAACAAATTATACTCGATTTCCTGAAACGGAAATGGTAATCGGAAATAGAGTCTTTGGGGAAAACAATATGAAATAAAATGCAAATTCTTTAATGCTCATTGAATATTTATTTTGTATTTTATAGAATTGAACATTTGAATGGAAGAATCAAGTTCTACTCTCTGTGTGTTTAAGTGAACAATGCAAGCAATTTAATGTGTGCTGGTTGAGGCGGCAGCTTTAGCTTGAGCTTCTGATTTTGATTGGCTACCGCCACCATATCCGCTACCATATCCATATCCAAGGCCAAGTCCACTGCCAAGTCCTCCACCAAGTCCACTGCCAAATCCTCCACCAAGTCCTCCGCCAAGTCCATGAGATCCTGTTTCAGAAGATGCGCTTGCACCAGAAAAGCTCTTGCTTCCAGCACCACCAAGACCACCGAGAAGGCCACCACTGTTACTGCCAGAGGTAGCTGTTGCTTGACTATAACTTTTTGACTGACTTAAACTTGGTATTGGTAGACCGAAAATTGGGACTGTTCAAATGACATTTTGAAAATATAAACGGGGGAAAGAAATGTATTAATTGCAGATGAGATTTAAAATATTACCGCGGCCGCCAACAGTTTTTGAACCTGTGTAATAAAAGTAAAGTGGAAAAACGATTATAAACTTACAAGTAGTCAAAACTTAAAAAAAGTATATATGAATAAACACTAACTCGATTTTGCAGCCGCTTGAGCTGATGCAGAGGAGGCTGCTGAATGAGCTAGAGCAATCTGAAAATTTTATTTTTATATAACAGTTTGAAAAGACGAAAAGGAGTTTTTGAAAAATTGTCTTACCAAGCTTGAAATGATGACAATGCTGCAGAAAACTTTCATTTTAATTTCTTGATTGAGTTACAAAACACAACTGATAGAGATTGTTGCAAATTTGGTGCCTTTTATACATCGAGTTTTCAATAATTTTGGTCGAAGAATTTTGGATATTATCATTTTCACGTATTTTTCGCATTCTTTTGCTCGTATTTTATTGCTCTGTGATAATAATAGAATACTTTGTTTTCAGATGACATCAGATGACATAGAAATTGATAGTTTTTAACATTATATCAATATATATTAACGGAAATATACCTAATAACAAATGGTCCACATGTTTTTGGACGAATATGTAATTTAATGTTTCCTTTTTAATTAATTTTTCTCTATGACTGCAAATGTCTTTATATATCTTACATATATCGCAATTCATTCAAGTGTCGAAACTAATTTTATTGATAAAAACATATTTCAGCGTGATATAGAAATTATTCCCAATAGGATTATACCAAATTTTTTATTTCGAAAAAAGAGACTCGTAATTATATAAAATGCTGGCCAAATATATTCCGGTGGGCGCTGGTGAAGCACTTTTTGTATGGAAATATTTGTTGAAAATTCAACAATACGCCACCTATTAAAGACAATAAAGATTTTCGTTACTACTGCTGTCTTGACACAGCTCTAGCGAACTATATAGCTGTATTGCAAACGTATTAGTACTGACACCGATTCTGTGTATGCGTGTGTGTTGTAAATTTTGCACAAGCAGGTAGGGTTGACGACTGAGTGCAGAATTTGCAATACAAACGGACACACAAAATCAGAGTCAGTGTGTTCTTTAGTAACAAAAATCTTCATGTATTTTAATAGATGTCGTATTCGTTGAATCTTCAACAAAAAATCTTCGATACCAGCGCCCACCGATATATTCCCATATTTCATTGTTGTAAAGTTCCAGCAAAGACAGAATATGTCTGTATGCATCATGGCCCATGATTCATGGGATCACTGCATTTCTTTTTTTGTGAAATGTGTGATTCGATTCAGTTTTCCATCATCTTTCATTTTGCTATAGTACAGAATACTACACGATGTGTATAGACCAAAATATAGCTCTAATATCCCTCTATCAGAATAAAAGCAAGACATAAGACGTCTTCTGTGAAATATATGGATGGTTCCATTTGGTACTATTAGATACGGTGGTATCATTAGATTCGAGTAACAAAAATACAAAGCTATATAAATGTTTGTATAGATGGTTTTTTTCAATTATTGCTTTATTTCAAAAAAATAAAAACACGAACGGTGATATTTTTTCAATTATACAATTTTTGTACTCATTGATCGAGTGTTTCAATGTTTTTAACTATTCGCTTAGAACAATTATCAATGAATTTGATTGAAAATCATTTTTCTCATCCTCATAAGACAATTACACCAAGAATAAATTCCGAATCCACTATATAAATTACTAATCCAGCTATTCCACTAATCCAAAAACACAAATGTGAAATCGAAACTATTTTTCCTATTCCATGCACTGTTTCCGTCAAAAATGTTAATTCTGCTATTCCGCACTATTCCACTAATCCATCAATAAACGTCAAAATAAATGTCAAATGAATTTGAAGTGAAACAATTTTTGCTATTCCATGCACTGTTCGTTATTCCACGCGAATCCATCCACATGAGTTGCTATTTCATTGCAAATTCTCGAATCTTTTCACTAAAAGTCTAATCTTATTCCACGTGTCTGCCCCTTAGCAATTATAACAATTTATCGAATTGTATTCTAACGACTTTCGATTTTCTTTCTCACTTGCGAATAATTATATCAGTTTGATTTGTATACTGATGCAATCAAAGACTTTCCATGTCGATTAATGTCGATTTAGTTGACAATTTAAGTGAAACCAACCTTATTTCAAATACTTAATAAAGAATCGTCAATCCTCAGAATATACCAATGAAAGTCGTGTTTTTTAGTTTAAAAAAATAAAACATGATTTATTTTATTGCCTTATGAATTTTTATTCAGTTTTTTTTTTATTTAAGTCATTCATTTTTTAGCAGAATCAAGATAGATATATGCATTAGGAAGCATTCTTTTATTTGCTTTTGCTAAGAGCGCTGGCTTTTGCACACGATTGAGATTCTAAGCGTCACTTCCACCAGCTTCTTCTATATCTTCTGGAATGAAATCATAATATTTTTCTGGTATTTCACCTTCAAATCCTATTAAATAAAGTAAAAAAACAAGTAGACGTTTGTACAAAAACAAGACAATTGTTATTGATAGAACTTACCATTGATCACATCTGTTAAGTAAAGAATTTCTTTTTAATTATTACCATTATAAAACCAAAAGTGCAATAATGATATGGATCCATTGGAAACAAATAAAATAGATCAAATTCAAACCTGAGTCATCAACGCTTCGTTTCATTCTATCATTATTGCCATTATTATTATTATTCATTCTACCGCGGCATGGTGTTGAGCTCGAAAGAGCAACCTGAAAATGTCTCCCTATTTAGTAATGCAGATAATAAAAACAAAATTTTCCTTTTATTCATTACCAAGCACAAAAATAAAACAACCCAGAGAACTCTCATTTTACTTGTTATGATAGCAAAATAACACTGATAAAGATGCTCGTGAAATTGGTGCCTTTTATACATCAAGCTTTCTATCTTTTTGCATTCCAGTATCTAAGAATTTCAATTAGACGAAATAAAGAACAACATTTCATTAATTGCTCTTGTTTTCATAAAATGACAAACGAATCAAATATTTTCGATTGAATGACGTATGTTATTTAGAATTTTTTTGGAGATAACGGAAGAGAACGATATTAATTAAATTCATAAAATAATTATCAGAACAAGAAAGACATATGATTTTAACATTTCCGCCTTCTATGAAATGATGATAGAAACCATGAATTTCACTTAAATCCATTTTAGTCATTTTAGCATCACCTCAAAAATATTTCATATATATCAAATCACCTCAAATATATGTTTATACTCTCACTTTTATCCTGACCATGAGACTTGTTTTCGCTGTATCCGACTCAAATTTATCAAATTATTCATCAACATCTTTATTATTATTCAAGTCACATGAATGCATTTTTTCCGTAAAAATTTTAAAAATATCTTTGAGTTTTTGTTTTGGCCTGTTGTGCGGTAAATTGAAGAGCCCCGAAATTTGATTTTCAAATATTTGCCAAACGAGTAAGGTACAATTAAAAATAAATTGCGGTACAATTATTTAAAACTAGTCCCAAGTTTCGACTTTTACATGTGCGGACATTTGTCTATACATCCCCATCTGACATAGTACACTTCGAATCAAATGCATATTTGAATTCTTCAATTGGTTCTTTTAATTTATTTTCCAATAATAGATCATTCGTAAGAATATCAGTGTCAAGTTCATGAAATATTTGAACAAATGTGGCGGCTTATTGTTTTTTGTTTTGTTTTTTGTATGGTATACATATAGTTTCATAGGGTGTCAAATGCCATATTTACGTAAATGAATTGCGTTTTTTGCTTCGTAAATATTTCAATTAGTATGCGATGCGTTAACAAAAATTGAAGAACAGTTTTTGTATAAAAGACACTCAGATTGTTGAGAAGAGTATCACTAGTACTTTATTGTTTTTCGGTAAAAGAAGTCAATTTAAAAATGAAAACTTTCTGTGTTGCAGTTTTGGCCCTAGGCTTGGTAAACAATAAAATATTCTATTATTCTTCCGATTAAATAATAACAAAACAATCTCTCAGGCCGTTCTTGTATCATCGTCACCATGCTTACCGCTTGTATTGAGTGGAGGCTCGGGAGGTAGTGCTAATGCGAATGCAAATGCACAAGCCAACGCTGCTGCAAATACGCAAGCTCTAGGCGGTGGAATTGGTGGTGCGAGTGCACAATCACAAGCAGCCGCTTCTGCGAATGCACAAACAAAAACATCAGGTCTTTTGGGTGGCGTTTCAAGTGCCGGAGCCAGTGCTTTGGCCAGGGCTAAAGCCGCTGCCCAATCAGCAGGTGACAATTCTATTTGCTACCACCAAAAATTTGCACCGTCTGCAAACGGTCGAATAAACTGTTAATTTTTGGCTCCAAGCAATATAGAGATGACCAATGATTTGTTCGTCACGATTCTTCTCTCATTTTTATAATACACTATCAATCACTAGGCAATGTCTTGAGTGGTGTCCGAGGTGCGTTGGGTGGTGCTGCAAGTGCCGGAGCCAGTGCTTTGGCCAAGGCTAGATCTGTTGCTCAAGGAGCAGGTAATACAAGAAAAACTTGCGACGCACAGAGAAATCGACAAATCACGCTCGTTTTCCATAGACTAGTGTCATAAAACTCTGTGCATATTCTTCTTCGTAGGTGGAGTTTTGGGAGGTGTATTAAGAGGAGGAAGCCATGCACAAGCCAACGCAGCCGCTAGCGCTAAAGCTGGTAGTGCAACTGGTGGTAATTGTTATGGTGGAGGTAAAACAACAAATTTCAAAAGATCAATCAGCACAGACAAAAGTTAACATTTTTGCAAGAGTAATGTTCACTAATGGTAACACCATTTTAACTTCAGGCGGAAGTGGATCGGTAGCACAAGCACAAGCACAAGCACAAGCACAAGCACAAGCACAAGCACAAGCACAAGCACAAGCACAAGCACAAGCACAAGCACAAGCCCACGCACAAGCCCACGCAGAAGCAGGCTCAATGAGCGGTGGTGGTCTTAGTGGTGGATCAGCTAGTTCTTTTGCCAGAGCTGAGTCGTCGAGTTCAGCTGGTGGTTTTGGAAGTGGCGGCTCACAAGTAAGTGCTCAAGCTTCGGCATCAGCCAAAAGCCAGGTAGTCGCAGGTGGATGCTAAATACATACGGAAGTTTTAAAAAAAGTAGAGTGATCTTGACACTAACAACGCAGAAAAATGAATTGGCTTGATTCCCGTCCCCAAATTTTTTGTTCAATTATTTCCAATTTGCAATATAATAAAGATTCAATCATTTGAATTTTATGGTGTTTATTTTTTGATATGCCAGAGTACTTGTCAAATATCACTTGATAAGAAAGTAAACAACAATAGCCCAATTGATATCATTTATCACAATCAAATTGATTTATTCGAATGTTTATCCACATTTTTATCTCTTTCATCACTCAAAACACTCACGAAAATATAATTTCAGTCATTACTCATAGCTGTAATTATAGTATCATTTCGACAAAATTGCTTCCGATTAAACGTTGTATTTCAATAGAAAACCATTGAAATATTTCACGTCATAGTGAAGTTCTTGATAATTTCTATCATTATAAATACTAATAATATGCAGTATTATGCAACTTGAAGAAATGGTTCCAGAGGTGAAACCAATAACTCCCCTGAAAATTGATAAAAGCATTTCATTGTCTGAAATTTTGACGCACCTACCTCTTCATTTGCCATTATCTAAATAATTTTTTTTGCACTTTATGAATTTCCTGTAAATTTCACTGACTATGAACGTCATTATCGCATACCACATAGTTTTATTATTTTTAGAAATGGATCGAATACCCGAATTGATATAATTTTCTTCGAAAGAAATATTTGAATTGAAAAAAACTCTGAATAAATCTCAAGTAATTAAAAATAATTACATTTGAAGTCGTTTTTCTCCGAGAAAATTACAATGGTTTGTTCAATAAAAGTATTTGTATAATTCGGCTAATTATATTTTCAAATAAGAAATGTGTATATAAACCAATGGCACTGAAAATCGGATAGTTCATTTCAAAAGTTAAATTCAATCGATAGAGATGAAGTTCACCATCGTTGCCGTTGCTTATTTCATTTTGGTTTTTAGTTCGGTAACTTATGGATTTTATCTGAAATTTTGAATCCGTTATTCGTAAAAGACACGTTTCATTCACGTACAGCTTATGGTTGCTGAAGTAACTCCCACAGATGGTGTACGAACGGCAACAAGGGGCATTGATTTAATATTTCGTGCAATTATGGATAGTCCAAGCGAATTTTTCAGGCAAACGGGCAGAGTTATATCTTGGATGGGGAATGAAGCCCAAAAGGGTGGCGCACAAATCAAATATACCAATAAATGAAATAAATTTTTACGAATTATTTTTCGATAATATAAATTTCCGATGCGCATATGATAAAATTGTCGACCGATTTGTTTTTTTTTCTCCATATGAAATTGAAATTATGACAAATGTACTACTGATAACGAGTTTCTTTCGTATAATATAACAAATTCATAAAATTAATAATTTTTAATTTGATTCTCTTTAAATTTCAGATTAAATAAATCCGTAGTGGAAGAACATTTGAACAAATAAAAAAATGGGAAATTCGAGTACAAAATTGGCGGAGAAATGTTCTCTATTGTCAAAAGACGAAGTGCCACTTGTGGCCAGTTCCTTTAAATTGGTTAGCAAAAATTCCGAGCGTATCAAGGAAGATGATTTAATGGTGAGCCATTTCAATCAATGACAACTTTCAATTTCGAATAACGAACGATCTTTTTCGCTTTTAGAAATTTTGGGGTTCCCAAATGGATCCACGTTTAGCACAATACATAACAAATTTCCTATTTGGAGCACCATCAAATCGAACAAATATCGTGGAATTTCAACGATTCGCTGAATTGTATGTGTTTTCGGTGCGTGGCTCAGTCGATGATCGAATTAGCGTCTTACTAGCTAGTGTCGGGCAATCCGATTCGGATCATTCTGAAATAGCATATCCACTAATTAAAGAGGTATAAATGAATGCCAAATAAATCGTCATCATGGCTGTGAAATCAAATTAACACCGATTTTTAATTTTAGTATGTTGAAGCTGTGGTTAGCAGTTATATGCGTGCACTCAGACTGGAAGGTGGTGTAGAGTATCAGTCATGGGAAAGTAAAGGTTTTCGAATTGTAAAGGAGTGCATACAAAAATTAGCGGAAAGCTTGTCATCGGAAGCCGTGCAACAAGGTT